AGGTCCTACGTGGGGCCGGGCTGCGGCTCTTGCCTCGGCCCCCAGGCCGGCATGGGGGTCTCCCTCGGCAGCGGTTCTGGGTTCTCCTCCCTTTCCTTCTTCTGAGGAGGCCCAGGATGGTCCGTGCTGGGGCCTCCCTTCTGCGAAAGCCAGGGCCCCCAATCTCCCGTGGGTCGCGGGTCTCTGATTCGGTCCCCTCCGCCCCGCCCAGATGCGCCTTCCTTAGACAGGACCAGCCCGGAGCAGGTGTCACGGTGGCAACGGGCCCGCGAGGGGGCCCTTTCGGCAGGACGGGTTGGGGGGAGTGTGCGCGGCTGGGCCCGTGTGTCGCAGGGAGACGCGGAAGCTGCCTGGGAGCATGTCCTCCAATACGGGCACAAACGCGACGCAAACCTGACCTGTGCACATCCACGCAGAGCTGCTCACTCTGGGGTCACTGACCCCAACGCCAAGTGGGACCTCAAAGACAACCTCACGCGGCAGCGTTCTGCCTTCGGCCGGAGCCGGCCAAGGGAGCCCAAACACCCGACGCAGAAAACCACAGGGCCCGCCCTGAGGTTGCCTGCCCAGCCCGTGGCGGCCGCCCTGTGCCCTCAGCCCGGATCCCGCGAGCGCGTGAAGCCAACCACCAAACGCGGGTTTTGTGTCGGGGAGACGTCGTGGGCCCGGCACGGCCGTCCTCGCTGTCCCTGTTGGCACCTCCGTGCTTCCTGAGGTTTCGCAGGTTTATCAACGAGGCGTTGAACCTCACAGAGCTGTGCCATGGATCCGTGTTAACTCCGTGCGTTTTAATAGAATAATCGCTGGCAATTATGCGGCGTATAAAAACGGCTGTGCAGACGTTAGGAACGTGGCAGTGCGCTGGGTGGGCGTTTCAGCACCGGAGTGAGAACTTCCCGTCCCCACGACAGGATGTCATCGCTGCCCGTAGGACCGGGGGCAGCTATTCTCAGCACTCAGTCTTCCGGGTTAGGCGTCTCTGTCACCTCTCTCTCCTCCAGGCGGGTGCCCAGGGCTCCTTCTGCGTCAGCCCAGCAGGAGCCTCTCAGTGGGGAACCGTCATCCTCATCACGAAGGTGGGGGGCCGGGGTCCAGCCTCTGCCCACTCGGTGGCAGGGAGGGAAGCCTCGGGAGCACTGGCTTGGGGACGGCCCCCCGCAGACGAAGCCCCGGTGGGCTCCGCGCCTGCCCCGCGCCTTTGCCTCTCGGATTCGGAGAAGACCGGCCGCCCTTTGCCCAAGAGGCGGGACGGACGCCTGGGTGTCCTCAGGACAGCCGTTGAGGACAGGCTTCTCCCCTCTGGTCACCCCACGGCCCCTCCCGGCCCCCCGGCTCCCTCCAGCAAGGCCAGGCCTGCCGGGCTCGGTGCCGCCCTCCGGGGCCCAGCTGCGTGGGCGTGTCCCCTAACGGTTCCCTGCGACGTGGGCGTGTCCATCACAGCGCTTCCCGCACAACAGGCAGCAGCCTCGGCCACCAGGCCCCAGGCGCCCTCCACGCACCTGCAGGGCGTGCGGAATGCCCACAGGGCCTCCGGGTGGCGGTGCTGCTGTCACCCGGAGGCACAGGGCACCTGGCACAGGTGCGACGCAGAGCCACGGTCGGGGGTCGGGGGGCGTCCGACACCCACGGTGTGGAGGGTCCGAGGTGCTGTGCCCGGGCGGGGTCAGGGAAGCCGCCATGACGGGCAGCTGCTGCCTTTGGGTTCTTCTCGCCTCTGTCCCAGCTCCCAGAAGCCCACCTGGTCCCCGGCGGTGACGGTTCACCAAGCAGGTCCCCAGACGCCTGCGCAAGCCCCTGCCCCACGGGGCCCTGGCCCGGGTGAGCCCGGGGAAGACGGCCAGCGCCAGCGGCACCGGGGGCGGCCCATGCTCTCCCGCCCATCGTCTGCGCGCCCTCTCTGCGTGGACGGCTGGGACGGGGGCTCAGCCCTGCCCGGAAGCCCCCCGAGGGCAGGGGGCGCAGCCGCGTGAGCTCAGCACGAAATGCCGCTGCCCCGGGACCCAGAGCAGCGGTGGCGTCTGGGGCCAGCTGGGCGGCGAGAGGTGTCGGCGGGCTGTGCTCACCGGCCGGTTCCCCCCACTTGGCAGAGCAGGCGGAGCTTGAACACTGAACCGGGAGGCGTGGTGAGTGCCGGCAGCAGGTGGGGGTGACACCAGACGAGCGTGACCTTCTGACAAGTCTGGACTCCAGTCCGGGCGCAGCGCCCGGCCGTGTGTCCCCAGACAAACTAGCTTACGTGACCACTCTGAGCCGTCCCCTCGCCCGTCTGAGGACCACAGAGCCCTGCCAAGCGCTGTGCAAGGCGCGCGAGGAGAACGTGGCGGGGCGCGCTGCTCAACGCGCCCTGCGCATAGTAGGGAGTCAGTAAACGGCAGTCGCCCTCACCACGCGGTCACGCGGGAGGCAGTGGTCACCTGCGAGCGGACTGAGCGGTCCCTGCAGCGTGCCGCACAGACTTCGTCCGAGCTGTGGCTTCCCGTGTCCTTTGATGCCACGTCACCCGCGGCCCGGGGCGCTCGGACGTGGCCTGAAGATCCCTGAAGAGCGCTGGGCGTGGGCACGGCCCGGGCCCCCAGGAGCCAGAGGAAGCTCCCCGGCGGAAGCGACAGCCCCCGGAGCATGCTCCGCCCGGCCCAGGGCACACTGGGGCCACACGTTTCCTCGGAGGCGAGCCCGTGCCCACTCCCAAGTCCGCGAGACACGAAGCGCTTCGCTGCGGCTGATGGCAGAGCCCGCTCCCCGCGGGACGGGGACGCAGCAGGGAGCGGGTCCGGCGTGAGGACAGGCTCCGTGCCCCGCCACGCTGCACGTGGGGCCTCTGTGAGGGCACGTGTACCGGGAGGCTCCGCCGTCCCCGCGACACGCGTTCCGATGAGGCAAGTCCCCTCATTCCTGTCCCCTTAGCGCTCCTTCAAACGTGCCGCGGCGTGGAAGCAATTAAGGGCCTGTCCCCGGCGGCCTTTCGGAGCCTCCCCGCACGCAGCCGCACACGTGTGGGCACAGATGTGCTGCCGGGCTCCGCTGGGCTCCCCAAACGAAGACCTGGCGGCGGCCCGGGCACGGCGTGGTGCCGCCCGCCCTCCGGGAGGCCAGCCAACACTCCCGACGGTTTGCTGAACGCACGAACGCATAGAGGAATGCGCAAGCCACGCCCCGAGTGAAGGCGGAGGGTGGGGGGCGCAGGGCACACATGGGAGCCGTCCTGTCTCCTCTGTCCTCTCGGCTGTTCCCTTGTGGCCCAGCAGACAGGATGGGCTCCCCCACCAAGCACGGGCAGGACCCAAATCCCCCCCATCCCAGCGGTCAGAGAGCCACAGCCGCGATGGGTCACCGCGACGACCGGCCGGCTCTCTGCGCACACCCTCCCCCGCCGTTCTCAGGAGCCTCGAGGAAGCCCACCTCCCAGGGCCCTGCCCCCTGCCCCGCGGGGTCACAGATGCTTCCAGACGGAGCTGGTGAGGTGTCTTCCCCCTGACAAGCCCGGGGGGCTCCTAGCTCCCCTGCCCGGCACATCGGAGCGGCCGGTGGCGACCCCTGGCTCTAGCCATGTGGCACACAGAAGGAAGCCATTATGCTCACAGAGCTCCGATGTAAAAATAGAGACATAGTTTCCCAGTTACCACACTCTAATTCGGATGGCTTCCCGCTGCCAGCGAAGCTGGGTTTCCTTCTGTCCCCTGCCACGCCCCACTCCTGCAGGGTGTCTCCTTCTGTGGGGGGCGGGGGTTTGCTGCTGTTTCAGCGCCGGGTCTCTACCCCGCCCCCCCCCCACAAGGCCTGCTGGGGCGGAGTGAGGGGCCGCTCTGCTCTGGGGGTTACAGCGGCTCTCAGTCGCTGCTGGAGCCCAGGCCTGCAGACGGCTCGAAAGGACCCAGTTCCCCGGCCGAGAGGGACAGCTGGCCGAGGACAAGGAGGCCGGGATGACCCCCCCGCCGGGCCCAGGGACGTCGGGGCGGGCCGTGTCCCCTGCCCCGCGGGGCCTGCTGGAGCGGGGCACTGAGCTGGAGGGGCGGCGACTGAGGGTCTGCCACAAGCAAGCTCACGCCTCTCCCGGGACAAGTGTCCCTCTTTCTGCAAAACCAGAGGAGAGAGCTTCTCCCCGCAGCGGGGAGTGTCCCGCCACCCTGGAGTGGGTCCCAACGGTCCCGCGGGCAACTCTCTGAGGCTGCAGGGAGGTCGACAACCCCTGAACCTGCTTCGAGCTCCCAGGAGCCTGACCGGCTCAGCCCTGGCTGCTGCGGCTCAGTGGGGTGGGTGTTGTTCTGCAAAGCCAGCGGTCGCCGCCGGTTCGGTTCCCAGCCAGGGCTGCAGGTTCGGCGCCCCACCCCCACCGTCGGAGCCACCGATCAATGTTTCCTTCCATCTCCTTCTCCCTCCCTCCCTTCCCCCTCTCTAAAAATAAATATATAAAATCTTTAAAATTTTTTTAAAAAAGAGCCCGAGCCACTTAGGACCTGCGATTTGCTGGGTCCCTCACTCGAGACGCCTCCTGAGCCGCGGGCGGCCTGGCCTGGGACCGCGTCTCTGCCCTCCCTGGACATCGCCACTTCCGGCAAGCCTCACACTCTGGCTCCTGAGGCCCAGTTAACAGCACAGCCTGCTCCCGGGGATGGGCTGCCACTCAGGATGCCCCGGGAGGTGGCCGGCCCTGCGAAGCCCGTCGAAGGCGGCCCCGGGGCAGGAAGCCGTGGCAGCAGGGAGCAGGGGCCTGCGCGGCGGGCCTGGGCCCTGCCTGCCGCCGGCTCCGTGCTGCCGGCAAGGTCTCCCGTCACCGCCTCGGCGGCCCCCGCAGCCTGGCACGGCGTGGCCCCCGCTGGCCACCCTCCCGGCCTGGCCCAGAAGGGCTGCTGCACCGGAGGCCCAGCCCCAGGCTGAGTCGGGCCCCGCAAGGGCTCAGAGGGTGTTCGCGGCTGGCGCCCCGCAGCGAAGTGCTGGCCTTGAGCGTCCAGGCGCACGGGGCCGCCCGCCCCAGGAGGGGGTCCTTCTCCCCGACCACTTACCCACGCCGGAGAAGCCGTCCTCAGCCCTGCTGGGGGGCGTGCAGTAGCCATCCAAGGCCCAGCCGCCCTGGGGCAGGGGCCCGGGTTCGAGGTCCGTCTGCAACCTGTGGGACGGAGAACCGTGGTCACTCATGGCCTTGGAGCCTCTCCATGGGGCTGGGAGGACCCCTGAACCTGGGTCTCTCCTGCTGGGACGTGCACCGCCGCCCTGGGCCCCCCGGACAGGCACGTGGCCACGTGTGCACTGGGGGGCAGCGTGTCTCTGGGCAGAATGGGGCTGAGGATGGGGGAGCCCCTGAGAGCACAGACCCCCCAAACACGGGGCACAGGGGCCTCGGGCGTGCATGGACGACAGCCGTGCATTCACACAGGGAAGTGCTGTCCGAGCTGAGGTCACTGACTCCGTGTGACAGCCGGGGCAGGGGGCACAGGCCCCAGGCTCGCCCCCCTCCAGGGGGCGAGGGAGGCAGGGGGCAGAGGCAGGGTCAGCTTGGGCCCCTCATGCCTCCGGCCACCCGTGGCCACAGCAGGCAGGGCAGGGCGGTCACTGGGCCCCAGCTCCAAGTGCAGGCCCAGCTCTGGCCCCGGCCGCTCCCAGGAACAAAGGCTGGGCGAGCGCTCATTACAGACAATTACCCTGGGCTCTGGGAGCCGCCCGCCCGCCTCCCGCTGTCTCCAGCTAAATGGGCCTTTGGCAGCTGGGCCGAGGGGGAGGGGAGGCCTGTGCAGGCAGGAGGGGAAGCGGATCCGGTCCTGGGGGCCCTGCCACAGGCAAGGCTCTCTCTCCAGTTTCCACTTTAACACCTGGACGGCCGGGCGGCTGGCTCAGCGCCACCGTCAACGGGCCGGGTGACAGGGCGCAATCGCTTTCCATCTCTGCACCTCATTACGGGGTGGAGGCCGTGAGCCCGGAGGCCCAGGCCCGTCTGCCGGTCTCGAGCTGATCTGCGGGCCGGGGCACGTGCAGCCGGGAGGACCCACGGGCGGGCAGGTGCCCGGACGTTCCAGGGGCGAGAGAAAGCGCGAGGTCAGGCCCGCACGTTTCCCTGGACGGCAGCCCGTGCGTGAAGAGCAGGCACAGGCTGACCCAGAGCAGGTGGGCCCCCACCAGCATGAGCAACGGGAGTCGTCTGCTGCCGCTGTGACAATGCGGGGCGAGGGGGGTCCTGCCCAAGGGCCGGGGCCTCCAGACCCCGGACGACGCGGAGCGGGGCGGCGGTCACCTGCCAAGCTCGGTGGGCCCAGCACCGCCCCACCCCCGGCCTGACCCCGCGCCGCCCTCACTCCCAGCCTGCGCGGGCGGTATCGCCGGTGCCGGACGCAGGCCCAGGCGAAGCAGTGGGGGAAGCCGGCAGCCCTGCCCTCCCGCCGGTGCAGGGAGCCCGGGCAGCCCCCGAGGGGTGGAGCGGACGCCAAGCCCTGGCAGGCGGGAACGGCCGACGGCACGGCGACGCTGCTGAGGCTCTTCCCAGGGGAACAGAGGGGGCGACGGGGCTAAAGAGCCCACGGGACCACACGCAGGGGACCGAGGGGACCCTGGAGCGCGGGGCGGGGCTGGGCCAGGGGAGAGGCAGGGCAGCGTCTCTCCCCAGACCCTTGACGGGGCGCGGGTGTGAGGGCGGGGGGGCCGGAGGGGGCAGGGGCTTACAGGGTCGCAACCCAGACAAGCAGCTCGGGGCGACCGGGCTGGGGCTTTGTGGGGGCCGAGGCTCCGGGGTAGGAGCAGGTTCCACGAAAGCAGCGCGTCTGTGGCTTCCAGGGCGCAGATGGCCTGTCCCTGGCTCTGAAACGGGCCCTTGGCCGAGCCACCTGGCTCCAGCGTCAGGTCTCGCAGGTGAGCTGGGCGCCTGCCCACCTGCCCGCTGCGCCTTGGGGCATCCCTGGTCCTAACCTCCCTCGGCCTGGACCGGGACCCAACCTGTGACCCAAATCGGGGCCTGAAAGGGGCCGGGTCTGGGGGTGGGTGGTGAAGACCCCAACACCCTTGCCCATGGTTCTGGGCAGGCTGTGCTGAAATGTTCAGAGGAGAAAGTTCTGCCCTTTGGAAAATGCCAGATTCTCCTGCGGCAGCCGACCTGCAGGGGAGAGGATGGAGAATCGGAAACAATTTAATGCCGAGACACTCTCTCCCAAACTGGATTCACAATGCCAGACGCCACCGGGCAGAAGGATGTGCAGCGGCCAGGCCGGCACCTTGCAGCCTGGAGGACGGCCCTGCCGTGTCTGCCCCGCATTCCCACTCCCCTGCGACGCTGTGTCCGCGGCGAGGATCACCCGGGACAGAAGGGAGCGGCTTCTCGGGCAAAGGGACTGTCGCGGGCCGTGCTCCCGGAAGCGAGGCTTCGGGGGCCGGGGACCCCTGGGGAGGACCGTCCGCTGCTCGAGGACACAGGCCAGTCATTCCTAAACCTCGCTGGTGGGAAAGTGTGAGCTGCCAGCCTGTCCCCGCTCACGCGTGAGCCCCACGATGCCGTGCAACGTAAACCAACTTCATCTCCCTGCACTGCACTTCAGAGAGGGGCGAACGGCTGCCGTCCATGGCCGGACCCTCTGAACGAGGCCTGAACGCGTGCGGAGTGCAGTGGCGCGCTGGCATCCCTGTCCCGGGCCCCCGGCACCCATGAATGGTATGCGAGTGCCTTAGCCTTTCCAGAGACCCGGCCACACCGTGGGCTGGTCGTGACTGTGGGCTACCACTCCCCGCGGCCCCACGCCCATCCCCGGACGCTGGGCAGGCCCGGGCCCAGGGCGTGAAGGGAAAGCCTTCCTACACCGACCCGCCATGGGCCGTACCCTGCCCCCCCACCCCCGGCCCCGCCATTAGCCCAGGGGAGAAACGCAGGGAGTGAGCCGAGGCCGGAAGGTGTATAATTTGCATGTGAATGTTTCTAGGCTGTGTAATACTTAGTAATTAAAACTCAGTTTCCTGAATGCGGTCCTGTTAGCACAGAGTTATGTTTTTATTGGAGCAGCGCAGCGGACTGACGCGTCTGGGTTGCTATGCTCGCCACGCGCCGCGTCTGAAGGAAGCTGGACAGGCCAGCTGCTTGGCCGCGGCGCTCGGAACAGCGGCCCGGCCACCAGCGCCTGCAGGGCTGGCCGCCCCACACGGTCATTGCAGAGGCATGACGCGCCCTCCGTGGTGTGCCCGGCGCAAAAGCAGACGTGCCCAAGGCCGCGTGCGAAGTGGAGAAAGAGCGCGCGCGCGCTACGGACAGACGCACGGACAGGCACAAGCATGATGGCCCCCGAGGAGGAGCAGGTAACATTCCGCTCGCAGCGCCCGGGAGGCGGGCGCCCAGGACAACAGTTCTTCTCGCGCATGTGGTCCCAAGGCAGCTGGGCAGGGCCGACCCACCCCCCGACCCACCCAAGGAGCTGCTGAGCCTCCCCAAGACCCCGGTCCAGGTCTCACCCCTTCCCAGAGACGAGAAAGGGACATTTTTAGGGGCACCCTCCTCACGTGCCTCGGTTTGCCCTGGTGCCCCCCGAGTGGAGAGAGACCAGAGCTTGGGGCGGTTCCCATTTTATGTCTCCAGCCCCAAGACGGCACTCAGACCCCGCCCCGCGGGCCGCCCGGCCCACCCCCTCCCCATGCGGGGCCCGCGGGGCCCCCAGCCCCGCTGCCCACTCACCGGTACTGGAAGGGCGCCACGGTGGCCGTGACGGGCTGACCCTGCTGATGGACGGAGGAGAAGCTGATGGCCCCCAGGGCCGGCGTGGGGCGGCGGCGCTGCTCGGGGCTGCAGGCTGGGGACGGGGCCCCCGGAGCTGCCCCGGCCTCGGGCTCCGAAGACCTGGGGGCCCCGGAACTCTTGTGGTTTCTGTCGCTCTGGTCTTTTCCTGGGCAGGTGGGAGGCTTTGGGCCTTCCGCAGCCCCCGGCGTTTGGGGCTCTCCACGGGAACTCGTCCGGGCTGGGCTCCTGCCCCGGGCCTGGCGGACGGGAATCCCTTCCCGGGCCATCTTCTTCCTTCCCTTCGAGCCCTGTGTCTGTCCGGCTCCTCTGGGCCCTGCCCGGCCGGACAGGGCTGCTCTGGGGGGCATCCGGGGGCTGCCCCACGGGGAACCAGGGAGGCTGTCGGTGCCCTCGGCCGACTCTCTGGCCGCCCCAGTGGGCTTCGGGGAGCCTCTGCCCTGGGAGGCCTTCGGGGAGGAGCCCCCGGGTGGACCCGCGGCCTTGCCCGGCTGCGGGGAGGCCGCTCGCTGTGGGCTCAGGGCCAGGCCGGCCTGGCGCGGCCGCAGCTGGGGCGAGGCGCCTGGGGTGTGGGTCCGGGTCTGGGAGGCGGCTCGGGGCACTGGGATGGAGGAGCCGTAGTGCGGGCGGCTGGCGGAGCTCACGTTGGCCATCTTGCTCGGGTCAGCAGGGCCGGCGGGGAAGACTAGCGTCCTGGGGAGAGGAGAGAGGGGACTGTCAGGTGCGGCCTCCAGCCGCTGTCCCTGGGACGTGGGGGCAGGAGGCCGCAGCGCCAGGCCGCAGGTCAGGGCTCCGGGAGCCCTGCCTGACCCAGGGGCACCTCTGCACCTGCCCGGCAGGTGCCGTGAGGGCCGCACACGGGCGCAGGCGAGAGAGCGCGGTGGCCTCCAGCAGGCGCGTGGGGCCAACAGCGCACTCCCTGCCCGGCCCCGCCCTCTCGGGCCTCCTGCGGCGAGACTGTCCCCGGTCAGCCCGCTGCCGGTGTCGCGGCCTCTGCTCCGCATGTCCCGTCTCCCTGCCACATCACCTGGCGCCGGGCTGTCCCCCAGTGCATCTCACGGGGCCCAGAGGTGCAGCAGCGATCGCAATTCCCCGTCCTCCCGCCCCCCCACTGGGCTCCTGCCACCGGCGGGTCCCTGGTCCTCCTCATGGGCCACCTCTCTTGGCTCCCCCCACGGTCCCCGCCCCTCAGTCGCCTGGCTCACAGCCCTCCTGACCCACCTACCGGCCTGGCAAGCTGACCTCTGCCACCTACTCCCCTGGTCTCGGAGACTGTCTCACCTTTGGATCCGGGCAGATCCCCCACCCGCCCCCTGCCCCCCTTCCAGGCCCGGGTCCATGAATGATCCCGCCTCTGCCCTGCAGCCTCGGTTCCCCATCCTGCCACGTTAATGAATGAATGACTCGATGTTAACCACTTCCACTGCAAAGGGAGTTTGAAGCAGTTCACAAAGACACCAGCAATCAATTCCAGACAAAAGAGTTCAATGCAGAAAATGCAGCCACAAAAGAACTTGCTGAACACACGCGTGAAGGTTTCCATAATTCCGTCCTGGGAGAGGCCTTAGAAGTGCCACGTCACGAGGGGAGCGTGTCTGACACATCTGAGAGCAAACAGCAACATCTTTGCATGGACAGAGAGCCCTTTCAAAAGGCGCAAGCCATTAGCGAACGACCAAAATCCTCGCAACCTCTGAGAGCGATAAGAATTTAATACCCGTAAACAGAGGGCGCGCTACCAAATCAACACTCAAAAGCAAACATCCCTCGAAGGAAGGGGAGGAGACTTAGCCAAGAAATTCGCTGTAAGTAATAAATAAAGTTGGTCAAAACATAAATATAAAAGGTCTCATTAAAACGGAAGAGATTCCCATTGTGTTATCCAATTTACCACCTTTTTAGAAATTGGGAATCTCCAAAGTGGGCCTGTCGCAGGCTGTCCCCGCCCCCGCCCCTCACGGCCGTGAGAGCAGGGCCCACCAGCAGGGCGGCGCCCAAGGGAAGCGATTTGGGCGAATGTTCCCATGCAGCCCCGGAAGGTGGCCGGCGCGGGGCGGGCCTCTGAACCAAGAAGAGCCCCCCGGGACCACGGCCACATTCCCTTTCAGACCACGGGGACAGCTGTGAGCCGCACACAGGGCAGTTCCTGGCTGCTGCTGACCTTCCCTGACCCTGACTCGGTGGTCAGCTGTAAGAAGCCAGGGCGCTCCCTGAGCCTGGACGGACTGACCGCCAACAGCCGAGATCGCGTGAGAGTTGAGGCTCACAGGACCTCGCTGCTGACAGGCGACATAACCTCCCCAAGAAACAGAAAAGCTCCCCTGTCCTCTCATTGGGGCTTTGACCCTCGATGGCATTGTCGGATGGACCGAAGCCCGCGCCCCCCCCTCCAGCAGAGGGACGCGAGATGAGGTCTCCCTCACTGTCTCCTTCTATCGGCCGTGCCCCCACGCCAGGGTCAGCTGCCTGCACCTCCGACCGTGCCGGGTGGGGCCCGAGGCCTGAGGGTGGGCCTGCGTGGCCGACCTCCGCCTTCAGCGCAGAGCTGGGCTGCGCGCTGTCCTCTGAGCTGACCAGCTGACCGCCCAGGGGGAGGGGCTGAGGCCACCGGCCCACTGCAGCCCCAAGTCTGCCACATTGGCGTCCCGAGGCGTGGCACACGGCCACCGGGGCCGCTTCGGCTTCTCCCTGCAGTCCCTGCGCCCGCCAAGTCCCAGCGTGGGGACAGGGCCTCTCAGATGCCCAGACCAGCGCTCTGGGGCGACTTCCGCCTGGGAGCCCAAGGCTCTCGCTCCTGCGAGCCGCGCCCCCACCCCGCTTACTGCCTGGGGTCCCCAGGAGCCCACTCACCGCCATGGTCCTCCAAGTGCCCCCCGCTCCCCCGGCTCAGATCCCTGTCCCTGCGTCCTGGACGGGCTGGGTTTCCAGCCAGACGGCGCGGAGGCCCGGCAGCTGCTTCTCCCTCACTCACTGGCTGACGCAGTGGCTGTCACTCGCCACCATTTTTTTCAAAAGCCAGACGGGGAGAGGCTTTTAGCGCAGCCCCATGCCGGGGCACGGGAGCCCCAGCCCCTTTGTCACCGAGCTGGGCTAGCCCTCCCCAGGACGGGAGCCTGGAGGAGCAGAGCGCTCCCCACGCTGGGATAGGTCAGCAGGAAGGGCGCCCACGGGTGCTCGTGGCTCTGCCCAGGTCTCAGAAGGGGGCCCGGGCCCAGCCCTGCCCTGGACCGGGTAAGGATGTTTCTTCATTGAAACATTGTCTCTCATCCTCGCAACGATCTTGCAAGGCAGCAAGTAGCGTCCCTGCTTCCTGGGTCGGGGAACAAGGGGCAGAGGCCGCGGGAGCTGCCCAGGGCCAGCCGAGGGTGCGTACCCTGGGCCGCCCCACCCAGCGTGTGCCCAGCCTCAGGACGCGCAGCTGGAGTGGCGCGTAGTGAGGACTCCACACGTGCTGTCCTTGCAGCAACAAGGACAGGGCACCTTCCTTTTCACCGGTCCATCCCTCCCGGGGGCGCGGCTTGGAGCTGAGCCACCTGGTTCCCCCAGAGCCTCCCGCGCGAGGGGGGATCGGAAATCGGAAACCCCTGGCACCCCGGTCAGTCCATGCTGGGCCTGGAAACGCCCTGCCCCCACTGCGGGAGGGCGGGAAGGGCGGAGCCCCTGGTTCCAGAAGAGCAGGGGGCGCGTCCCTGCTCTGCGACTTCCTGCCACGGGGCTTTAGGCCGGTCCCTGAACCTTCCAGGGCCCAACGTCCTCATGTGCAATGAGCGGTCGTGGAATCTTGTAAAGACCAAAGGAGAGTGCAAAGGCGAGCCCTTGACACGGTGGCTGGCACGTCATAGGTGCTCAGCAAGTGGCAGAGTCCTGGCCAGTGTGGCCCAGTTGGTTGGAGGGCTGTGGGTTCACTTCCTGGTCAGAGCACAGGCCGGGGCTGCGGGTTTGATCCCCGGTCCGGGTGCGGGCGTGGGTGGGAGGCAACCGATCGATGCTTCTCTCTCACATCAGCGTTCCTCTCCCTCCCTCCCTGCCTCCCTCCCTCTCGAAAGCCACAGACAATGTCCTCGGGTGAGGAAAACAAAACCAACAACAACAAAAGCAGTAGCAGAGCCAAGTGAAAGGAAGCAGCCACGTCCAGACACCGCGCGGGGCAGCCTGGCGCGAAGCTGGCGTGCAGGGAGGCCGGCGGCCGGCGAGGTGGCGCAGTCCCGGCCCATCCGGGGCGCGGCCCCGCCCTCCGGGGAGTCGCCTGCTCCCTCCCCTTCCCAGCGCTGCTTTGGTTGCAGCCGCAGGTGCTGACGCAGGCAGGCAGGTGCTCAGTGCTTTTCCTTTATTTGCCGGCGACGCGTGAGCTGGTGCCCTCCTGCGGGTCCCGTTTCACGGGCACAGACTCCGAGCACAGAGAGGCCGAGGAATCGGTCCCGGCCACACGGCTCGTGGCCGCGGAGCCAAGGGTGGACCCAGACAGCCTGGCTCCGGCCGAGCCTGAGACTAGCCTGCCCTGCTGCTCACCCTGCAGCCCGAACCCAGCCTCCCCTGCGCCCCCCCCGCCCCCCCCCCCGCCGCCGCCCGGCGCCCAGCCTCTCAGCGAGAACATCCTGGCTCCAGCCCCACGACTGGCTCAGGGCGCTGCAAAGCCAGAGCCAGGAGGCAGCCCTGGCCCAGAAACGCTTCATTCCAGCTCAGACAGTGGCAAGAGCCGAAGCACCAGCTCCCTCAGCCCCGGGCCGGCGGGAAGAGGGAGAGAAGGCGGGCACCTCCCAGGGCCGGCAGACCGGCCAGGCTGCGGCCGCCCGGGCGCCGCGGTGGGCGGGGTGCGTGGTGCTGACGGGACAGCTCCCCCGGCCGGGCTTCCAGGGCGGCTGCGCCTGCGTCAGGCCTGGGCCCACTCCCGAAGGTCAGAACCAGGTCACCACTGCACCAGACGTGGCATGTGCTTTTTTGTTTTTGTTTTTAATCTGAAGAAAGAAAAAGAAATAAAACAGAAAAGAAAGGTCTGTGGGTGGGGCTCCGGGCGGCTGGGTCCCAGGAGCCCGTGGGGCTGAGTATATGGGGGCACCTCATTCCCGGTCCCCAGGCCTTGATCAGCAGCTTTGACACTGGGGGGAGCCCTCACCTGGCCATTTGCCATGAAGGTCGAGTGAGTCTGGCCTCCAGCAGGGGCGCGTGGGGTCAAGAACAAGGGTCCAGGAGCCTCAGCCACGCCCCTGCTCACCCCTTCCCACCCCCGGCTACCCACCCCGCCCCCCCGCACAGTGCGAATCCAGCTGCGCCCTGGCCGTTGTCTGCTCAGCTTCCCCTCCAAAAAGACCCCAAGTCAGGGCATTGTGGGGAGACCCCCAGGGCTGAGAACGGTTTCCTTCGCGTCCAGCCTCTAGTCTCTGCCCACCTCGCAGGACAGACGAAGGGAGGTCTGAGGTGGGGGCGCACAGGAGGGGGGACTGGGGGCCGTCCCCCGCCCCAAGCTCTTGGCCTGGCACCCCGGATCTGGGCCCCAGCAGCCGGCGGGGGGCCGTTCAGCTGGGCTTGGTCCCTGGCAGGGGAGGGCAGGAGGAGCAACCGGCCGGCCCTCGGGGTGGGCGTGGGCAGGGGGCCCTCCTCACCCCCACCCCGCCGCCGCGCCCGCCTGGCTGGCTCCTGGCTCAGAATGGGGGTCAGGACCCCGGGCCAGTGAACAGCGGGGCTCATCTCTGTCC